CAAGTTTTATTGAAATGTTATGATTAGTACTTGAGATATCAGTGGAAAAGCCGAAAATTGATTAATCATTATGTAATTTAGGTAATTAATAATATTAACAGATTTTTACCCGAACTAATCAAATCTGCGCATTAGTTCAGAGCATCCATGTGCCAAGTTTCATTGAAATCCAATGAGTGGTTCATCAAAAATCAGTGGAACAGTCATAGAACAGCTTGAAATCAGTTAATTATCATGCAAATTAGGTAATTAATATTCATAGATTTTTACCCAAAACTTATCAAATGTGCGTATTGATTCAGAGCATCCATGTGCCAAGTTTCATCAAAATCCAATGAGTGGTTCTTGAAATATATCAGTGGAACAGTCATGGAACAGCTTGAAATCAGATAATTATCATTTAAATTAGGTAATTAATTTTCATAGATTTTTACCCAAAACCTAATCAACTCTGTGCATTATCCCAGAGCATCTATGTACTAAGTTTCACCAAAATCTGATTAGTGGTTCTTGAGATAACGATGGAACAAAAAAAGTGACATACATACATACATGTACATACAGACAGGGTAACTGGAAAGACTCCCTTTTGTGCTTCACACACGGGAGTCAAAAATGACGACAACAGACATTTTTCTCTTAATACATCTTTCCCTTCCATCTTTGATGATACGGGCAAGGTAAAAATCATGATTGGTACAGTAGTTTGGTTCGCGCTTTTATGAGAAAACTTGCGTTAATTTCTGTACTGTATGCAACATGGTTGCACCCTTTTTATTCTGTTATTCACTCAGGATGAACCCAGATACTGAAATAATCCATCTCTTTTGTGTGGTAGCTTTCGAAAGGCCAAAACTGACCATCAAGTTATAAAATCTGGTCATTGGACAATGCTTTTCCAAGCAATCGTGTCCATTGAGACTATTATCACGGTGACCGTGAAAGGTGTTTAAATACTTTCTCCACACCTTTTGAAAATTTAAACGTTTTTTCATCCAATTCATTGCTAACAAATCACATTTTATCATCGCGGTGATTATTTTCTGCATTGCAGTAATAAAACAAATTGCATCATCAATAATCAGGAAATTTCTTCAGTACGACAACATTTTGATTGGTTAATAAAAAACTTGACCTGTTAGGTAAAAGGATAATGTTTCAGATAAAATCGTGCTGAAAAACATCATGGCGGAAATTGCTTTGCATTGAGAGTTTGTGTATGATCGAGAATGTCCCACAACGAAAATAATGATAAAGATCTTGCTTTTGACTGTTTTCCCACAGACCCTATCCATTTTTACACCGTAAATTCAGAAGGTATGTAAATCATATCGTAATAAAATGTGCGTATTTTTATGAACATACTAGTTTCTTCATTGTGGAAGTGACGAGGAAATCATTGACAACTCGTTTCGCATTTTTTTCCGCAAAAAGACGTAATATAACCCCAAGCCCGGCATGGTGGAAGAATGATAAGATCAACTCTACATGTATACAGGCCAACTATATCTCCACTAATTAACCATATGTACATATCAGTTTGATAGCAATCAACTGAATATTATTGAAGTTATTATGCCCACAAGAAAGTTTACGACAATGTCGCCAACGCCATTAAATGACAGACATTTTTCCACTACACCAGTATGACCTCCCCTTCACTTCATTAAGGGCAAGCCAAAAATCAATTCTTATGAAAGAATTTATTTATTCATATTTGTCATAGATAATTTCATCTGAGACAGTGTCATTAGGTTTAATAAGGAAAACCAAAGACTAAACTAAGTTATCAAATAAGAACTCAACAATACAATTACTTCTAAGAAACTATTATTATCTCACTATGAAATAAACAAATCAAGGCTAAGATAAAATTGAGATGGTCATTACAAAAATAAAAATGTCTTCATGTTAACAAAATCATCATTTTTTTTAAAAATAGACTGTAATGTTGTAATGTTGTAGTTTACAATTATTTGATTACATATATACCTGTTCACTAAAAAGTACAAGTACAATTGCATGATATTGAATTAGACAAATATATTTGAACAAAAACACTTGTTATGATGCCCAAAAATAATCTTATTATTCACTTCACTGTCAAGATGAACATATGAAAAGACATTTTCTGATGATAGGAAGAAATCTGTCAGTAATAAAATGCATACATGTATCTTACTACTTTGATAAGTGAATGGGAAGAGATTGCAGTTGTCAAAAGTCTGTATTACGGTAGACAGCATATACAATATTACACTCTGATTCTGTATGAACAGAAAATTGCATGGATTGAAGTTTTGATTTGATAAGTTCAGCCTGATGTAGACTCACTGGATAGTAGATATTCCCGAGTGTGATTCTAAAATTGTTGGTAACCTTCAGCACCTGTTAGTACTACATCCATCCATATTCGCATTGCTTCTGGTGAAGGTGAAACCATGTAATACACTCTCTCAAAAGTTTTAACACAAAATGTGAGATCTGGGTTGGGACTTTTATATGGTCTTAAATGATCATAGTAGACTTCTTGTATTGCCTGAAAGTACATCCCACCAAGTGGTTTATTTTCATTCTTCTCATTTCGGTAATATAACAAAGACCGTTTGATTCGATCAAACACAAACCACCGCTTCTTCCACGTCTTTATTCTTCCACCCATCTTTATCATGTATCCTCTACAGCTTGTCTTTGTAAGAATGATGTCTTTACATGTATCAACACTGTGTCCAGCTGATTCTATGTGTTGACATAAATCTAGATTTGCGTTGCAGTTTGGCAGATATCGGGTCATAGGTCGTGACTGAAAAATAAAATATTCTTTTTAACAACATCAGCAGTGAGTTGGTTCGTTGGATCACATACACAGTCCTTGCTCATTGGATCGCAAGCATACACCCTCAGGCTCATTGGTTTACAAACACACAGCGTCAGGTTCATTGGATCATAAACACACAGTGTCAGATTCATTGGATCACAAACAAACATCATCAGGTTCATTGGACCACAAATACACAGCGTCAGGTTCATTGGATCACAAATACACAGCGTCAGGTTCATTGGATCACAAATACACAGTGTCAGATTCATTGGACCACAAACACACATCATCAGATTCATTGGATCACAAACACACAGCATCAGGTTCATTGGATCACAAATACACAGCATCAGGTTCATTGGGTCACAAATACATAGCATCAGATTCATTGGACCACAAACACACAGCATCAGATTCATTGGATCACAAACACACATCATCAGGTTCATTGGATCACAAACACACAGCATCAGGTTCATTGGACCACAAATACACAGTGTCAGATTCATTTGATCACAAATACACAGCATCAGATTCATTGGACCACAAATACAGAGCGTCAGGTTTATTGGATCACAAACACACAGCATTAGGTTCATTGAATCACAACACACAGCATTAGGTTCATTGGATCACAACACACAGCATCAGATTCAATGGATCACAAACACACAGCATCAGATTCATTGGACCACAAATACACAGCATCAGGTTTATTGGATCACAAACACACAGCATTAGGTTCATTGGATCACAACACACAGCATTAGGTTCATTGGATCACAACACACAGCATCAGATTCATTGGATCACAAACACACAGCATCAGGTTCATTGACCACAAATACACAGCATCAGGTTCATTGGATCACAAACACACAGCATTAGGTTCATTGGATCACAACACACAGCATTAGGTTCATTGGATCACAACACACAGCATCAGATTCATTGGACCACAAACACACATCATCAGGTTCATTGGAACACAAACACACAGTGTCAGGTTCATTAGACCACAAACACACAGTGTCAGGTTCATTGTACCACAAATGTCAGGTTCATTGGACCACAAACACACAGCGTCAGGTTCATTGGACCACAAACACACAGCGTCAGGTTCATTGGACCACAAACACACAGCGTCATGTTCATTGGACCACAAATACACAGCATCAGGTTCATTGGATCACAAACACACAGCATTAGGTTCATTGGATCACAACACACAGCATTAGGTTCATTGGATCACAACACACAGCATCAGATTTATTGGACCACAAACACACATCATCGGGTTCATTGGAACACAAACACACAGTGTCAGGTTCATTGGACCACAAACACACAGTGTCAGGTTCATTGTACCACAAATGTCAGGTTCATTGGACCACAAACACACAGCGTCAGGTTCATTGGACCACAAACACACAGCGTCAGGTTCATTGGACCACAAACACACAGCGTCATGTTCATTGGACCACAAACACACAGCGTTAAGTTCATTGGACCACAAACACACAGCGTCATGTTCATTGGATCACAACGCACAGAGTCAGGTTCATTGAATCACAAACACACAGCATCAGATTCATTGGATTACCAAAACACAGCATCAGGTTCATTGGACCACAAACACACAGCATCAGATTCATTGGATTACCAAAACACAGCATCAGGTTCATTGGACCACAAACACATAGTGTCAGGTTCATTGGGCCACAAACACACAGCGTCAGATTCATTGGATCACAACACACAGCGTCAGGTTCATTGAATCACAAACACACAGCATCAGATTCATTGAATCACAAACACAGAGCTTCAGGTTCATTGGCCCCAAATACACAGCGTCAGGTTCATTGGATCACAAGCACATAACCTAAGTGTCATTGAATCATATACAAAGTCTCATTGGATTGTAAGCACACAGTATCAGGCTCATTGATTCACAGGTAAACATTAGTAGTGGTTGTGCAATAATTCATGACTACACCTCTCTTAAAATCACATATACCTTCCCTTTATTACCGTACTTGACCACGTTAGCGCCCATGCCCGGGCAAGCGCCCACCCCCCACTTTTGCGCAATTTTTATATTTAGGGTTACATTCGGCAAAGCGCCCACCCCTTCAAAATGCAACTAATTTAAAACTTGGTCTTGCGTAACGAATCTTGGTAATCATTTTTATATGATACAGCGTGGATATTGATCGTGAACATGTTGTGAATGCGTAGAACACGGTAACCGTGCGTAAACTACGCTTCGACAATGACCTGTTAATACAAGTAAAATGCGATAAATATTTCATGCCATATACAGTTCACTACTCAAAAATGGCTAGTTACTAGTTTTTTGAAAAACCATGTCGTTTATTCGCTGAAATCAATTCCAACAGATCATACTTCGACATCGATTATTCACTTCCGCATTGTGTTACCGGAAAGTCTTCAGGTATTTTCCGAAGAATTGCATCAGTACAACAAAGCTTTCTGATTAGTTAATAACCAACCCGACCCATTAGGTCAAAGGACGCTGCTGTAGGTTAAATCTGCAATTGCATCATGGCGGAAAGTGATTTTCATCGAGAGTTTGCGTACGATCCAACAACTTCGTCAGTGGAAATAATATGAAAATTTTGACTTTGACTCTGTTCCAACAGACTCAAATGCTTTTAATTTCGTAAATTATGGTGGTACGTAATTAATATTGTAATAAAATGTGCGTATTTTTTGTGATCATTTCTGTTTCTTCATTGTGAAAATCAATGACGACGCAACTAATTTAGTAATTTGATTTTCCCTCAAAGATGTAATCAGTCACTTGATGAATCAAAATTTTCATTTGCACTCTTTTTCGAGGGGGGTGCTCGGGTAAGCGCCCACCCCAACAAAATCGAGTTGAGGCCCCTGGGCGCTAACGCGGTCGAGTACCGTAGTAGTGGTTGTGCAATAATTCATGACTACACCTCTCTTAAGATCACATATACCTTCCCTTTATTAGTAGTGGTTGTGCAAAAATTCATGACTACACTTCTCTTACCTGGTAAGATCTCATATACCTTCCCTTTATTCGTAGTGGTTGTGCAATAATTCATGACTACATCTCTCTTAAGATCACATATACCTTCCCTTTATTAGTAGTGGTTGTGCAATAATTCATGACTACACCTCTCTTAAGATCACATATACCTTCCCTTTATTAGTAGTGGTTGTGCAATAATTCATGACTACACCTCTCATAAGATCACATATACCTTCCCTTTATTAGTAGTGGTTGTGAAATAATTCATGACTACACCTCTCTTAAGATCACATATACCTTCCCTTTATTAGTAGTGGTTGTGCAATAATTCATGACTACACCTCTCTTAAGATCACATATACCTTCCCTTTATTCGTAGTGGCGAATTGTGGTAAAATGACTCAATAGCAAAATGTTGATTTAGCAAATGTCTCTTGTCATTGTCGATTTCCTGTCGCGTGCCAAAAACAAATGCGCAGTTATCACCTCCATAAAAAAAAAGAAAAACTGTCAAGTGTAATTAGGAAGCGCCCAGATTTTTATGTTCCTGATTACTGTATACAAATCCCCAAGCCTTGGCCATTTTGAATTTATAATGAAGTCATTAGCGACATCTTGAATTAACGAGTCAGTTCTCTCGCTAAATTCGCTAAGCTAAAAGACATGCTGGTGAAAAAGACATGTTTTACAGTGATTCACGACAACAACTCTCTAATAATGATCACATATACCCCTTTATTAGTAGTGGTTGTGTAAATTACCTGCTGTGAATGCTTTGCTCTTTCTTTTTCTCGTAACTTAACTTCTTCTTCAATTATTTTTTCCCGTTTCAATGTTTCTTCTTTCAATTTACGTTCCAGTTCTTCTCTTTTTTTTCGTTCTTCTCCCAGCTCCTTCAATTCACTTTCTCTCTGCTGTTCCTACATGAGTTGAGGATGTCAAAAAAGAATATCAATCAACAGCATTTGTCCTTGACTGTGTTATCAGTTTGATATTTTTTTTAAATAAAGAAATGTGATTGCGTATCACTATACTACAAGTGACAACCTAACTGTCCTGGTTACAACATCTAACTGTCCTGGTTACATCATCTAACTGTCCTGGTTACATCATCTAACTGTCCTGGTTACATCATCTAACTGTCCTGGTTACATCATCTAACTGTCCTGGTTACATCATCTAACTGTCCTGGTTACATCATCTAACTGTCCTGGTTACATCATCTAACTGTCCTGGTTACATCATCTAACTGTCCTAGTTACATCATATAACTGTCCTGGTTACATCATCTTAATAACAACACCTAACCATTCTGATTACATCATCTAACTGTCCTGGTTACATCATCTTAATTACAGCACCTAAGCATTCTGATTACATCATCTAACTGTCCTGGTTACATCATCTAACTGTCCTGGTTACATCATCTAACTGTCCTGGTTACATCATCTAACTGTCCTGGTTACATCATCTTAATAACAACACCTAACCATTCTGATTACATTATCTAACTGTCCTGGTTACATCATCTTAATTACAGCACCTAAGCATTCTGATTACATCATCTAACTGTCCTGGTTACATCATCTTAATTACAGCACCTAAGCATTCTGATTACATCATCTAACTGTCCTGGTTACATCATCTTAATAACAACACCTAACCATTCTGATTACATCATCTAACTGTCCTGGTTACATCATCTTAATAACAACACCTAACCATTCTGATTACATCATCTAAGCATTCTGATTACATCATCTAAGCATGCTAAGCATTCTCATTACATCATCTAAGCATGCTAAGCATTCTGATTACATCATTTAAGCATTCTGATTACATCATCTAAGCATGCTAAGCATTCTGATTACATCATCTAAGCATTCTGATTACATCATCTAAGCATGCTAAGCATTCTGATTACATCATCTAAGCAGGCTAAGCATACTGATTACATCATCTAAGCAGGCTAAGCATTCTGATTACATCATCTAAACATTCTGATTACATCATCTAAGCATTCTGATTACATCATCTAAGCATTCTGATTACATCATCTAAGCATTCTGATTACATCATCTAAGCATTCTGATTACATCATCTAAGCAGGCTAAGCATGCTGATTACATCATCTAAGCATTCTGCTTACATCATCTAAGCATCCTAAGCATTCTGATTACATCATCTAAGCATCCTAATTACATCATCTAAGCAGGCTAAGCATTCATTCTCATTACTAATTTAGCCATACCTGTTTCATAGCCTGTTTCTCAGCTTGAGCTGCTTGTAATACTATCTCCATTTCAGCAAGTTGTTTCATTTCTTCTTCTTTAGTTCTGTTATATCAAATAAAAATGAGATATGTTTTATAGGTATAAGTATCCTTCATATTCATATTCACAAGACCTGGAATGGATACATTTGTATCTCATGGATAATTTCCATCATATTCATATGAACACACCTGGAATGAATATCGTATGGATTATAGCCATAATTTCTTTCATATTTTGTATTAATGTTAATAGTGTAGTTTTCCTTCCTTACCTAATTGGGCTTCTTGGACTTTTAGGGCTCTGAGGATATCCGGAAGACCTGGATGATGTACTATCACTGTAAGTCCTTGGAATCCTGTGAGGACTTGATGGTATTCTACCAGATGAATCTAACATGCCTTCAATACTTTCAAAACTTGATATACTTCCAGTATCACTAGAATTATACACAGAGATGTTTGCAGTGTTTGATGGTAATGTTGCACTTCGTTTGCGTTCCCATTCTTCTTTTACTTCATTGGCAGCTTTATGTTTCAACTCTAGCAAACGACGTTTTTGTTCTTCAATGACCAAGTCACCTAAAAAGATCAATTCGTGAGTGCATAGGTGCCCATCTGACAACTACAATGACAGCAAAGCAATGTAATTATGTGAAGAAGCTTTCAAAATGTTACATGAATGAACAATAAAACAAATACATCAAAATTATGACATACATGTATATGTAACTTAATTTTTGAGGTAGTATCAATGTTGCTTATCGTGTCATACAGAATGTTATTCGATAAAAATTCACCTGTTTGTTCAAGATGGAGTTTTCTATGTCGTTCAATTTCACTCCATGTAGTTGACGCTTTCCGTGGTAAACTTGATTCATCTCCAATACACATTTCTCTTTTTAATGATGAGGACATGTTCGTGACAGGACTATTATTTGCATTTTTTCTCCTGGTAAGGTATTCGTCACTTAAGGAAACATCAGGATGAAGTTTGAGTTTTCTTTCTTCAATTTCACGAATCTTTTCCTGTGTAAGATATAATAAATTGTAATTATGCCTTTGTTAGTGATGAAGTTATTGCTGATAAAATTATTACCAAAGAAACTATAGAATAAATGTAGTTCTGCTGTGTGAAAATCACAAAGTAATATGATCCAAAATATTATAATAATATCTAAATTCCAAGTATCACGCAATTGAGCTAGAAGCTTTGAAGAAGTCAAAAATGCAATTGTTGACGGACGGACAAACAACAGACAATCACCTATATGAATAGCTCCGTTCTGTTATCTATGATGACAGCGAAGCTAAAAAAAATATGACTTGCACCTGTAACCCAATATGCACGATCATGATATACAGATACACAAAAATGGTTGCCATCTTGAATCTGATATAAATAAGTGTACATACAAGTGAAAACTGATTCCAGAGTGGTAAAAATGCTTAATATTTAATATCTCAAATCAGATTACAAAAGCATTGGGCCTGCATATGTATCACAAGATCTATGATGTGTGTGTGAAGTTTAAATGTGAGCGACCAAGGCATGTCTGAGATACTGTTAACCCATTTGTTTCCATTATTTTGATGCTTTGAGCAATTTCATCGAGTTTTATTGTATTTCTACATGTTTCTACAATTTAAAACAGCGGAATCCAGTGAATAATAAATGTGTTTACAGTACATGTCTCAACACACACACATGTAGCTTATTCCATAAGTCTGAACAGGGACTAACAATTTTGGATACTGTAGAAAACTTTATTTTCACTTGGAATTAATTTTCGCTGAAGGAATGATTCAGTGAAAATAAAATCCAGCAAACATACATTTTTTCTATATTTTACATTCAGCTTGTCAAAAAATCAGTGAAAATAAATCCCCTACAAAACACCCAAAAAAGTCTTTTCAGCGAAAATTAATTCCAGCTAAAATAAAGTATTTTACAGTATCTATTTCAGATACATAAGATCATGCCTGGGAGTGAGTAACATGAGAGACATTACCTTATTAATGCTTTGCACATTATCCAATGACCAATCTATTTCTCTGGCTTTGACTACATATGCATCATATCTATTTTCAATATTTTCTAATTCATCTTTAGCCTAAAATTAAAGAAATGAAAGGCAAGAAATATTTTAAAACAATTATATAGTGTATCTGTATCATATAAAAAAAAAATTAAAACAAATTCCTATGTGCAAAAGTATTGAAGGTTATTTTGAATAAATGTGATTGTATACATCTCTTTGATTTGTTGTGATTTATTTCAGAGCATCCAAGTTTAATTGAAATCTGAAATGTGTTCTGTGAAAATCATATGCTGTCTTTTATCAATGAAGTCACATGACCATATAATGTCATCTTTCCTGACACGTTCAACTAAAGCACTGGCTACATATCTGAAACAGTGTGTGAGATATAGTTACATTAATGGTCATCTGTTGTTAGTTACATTGGGCCATTCCAGTTTATA